CTCTTCTCTTCTCTTCTCTTCTCTTCTCTTCTCTTCTCTTCTCTTCTTCCTTCCTTTAGAAGGAAGAAACGTTTTAATTTGCAAACTGCGATGGGGAGCAAGTCGGAGCTGAGCTTGAGACATTCTTGAAGGATACCGTTCTGCCCTTGGAGTCGGTCAATCGACCATCCTGGATGGAGCGGACTGAAATTCTTTTTACAAAGATCCTAGTAGTACGGCCAGGAGCCCGTAGTGGCGTCCTTGCTCCTAGTAGCGATGCCCTTTGTTACTAGTAGCGTACTTGTTCCTAGATCCTTTTGAAATTGTTCTTGGCAGAAAGCTTTCTTTTTCAGGAAGGCGGCTGTTCTTCTTTTATCCTACTCAGGGGCGTCCTTTCTTCCAACCTACTAGCGATGGCCTCCAACCTAAGAGCCAGGGCCTAGGGTTCTGCTTTGTGTTCAAAGTCAGGCCCTTTGCTCCTCGAGGATCTGCAAACAGAGGTTGAAGACATCGGGGTGCGCTTTCTCAACCTGAAACGATCTCTTCGTTTCCAAAGTCGAACCATTCGACTATTCGAAAGGAGTCTTAAGGAGTTACCTTGAAAGAAAACGGAAAAAAAGGTAAAAGCTCTAGTCCAAAGAAAAAAGAGGATCAATCCTTCCCTCCAAATTCCGTTATTTCCCGTTGGTCACTCCGTATTGAACATCTTCACATCAGTACATCAGTCCCACCCCGGCACAAACACATCGCGTTTGTACAACTGCTGCATGCGTCAGGTGTTGCATGCGTCGCTTCAACCCGTCCACAACACAAGTGCAAATGTCCTTGGAGGCCATCGCTAAGGTGTTTCGCGTTTGATGTCCAATCATCTGCAAGTTCTCCATGCTCGAATGCAAAAAACGTTCAATTGGCGGAAGCAGCCAGCTACTGCTGACTTGGTCACGCAAGGCGCACCAGGAGTCCAAATTTTGCATGTGCCGCGGAGAACTTCCGTTCCATCCATCACCGTTCCCTTCACCGACAGCAAATCTGGAACAAGCGAACACAACCTAAGAGCGATCGCTCTTAGGTTGGAGCCCATCGCCATTAGGAGCAAGGACGCTACTAGGTGCTCCTGGCCTTACTACTAGGAGCAAGAAGCTACTAGGTTGGAGGCCATCGCCAGTAGGGCTATAAGGAGCTTATTGTTTCTAATAGCTTCTTGTTACTACCAGTAAGGCACTTGTTACTAATAGCATGGTTTTTCACCCCGAACTCAGGGTGTTCCGCACCTCATCGAAGAGGACCAGGCTGTAAGGCCGACGTCGCACTCCGTCTGTGAGCTGGCTTTCCTGTCAATTCAAACAAGAAACAGAAAGAAACGAAGAAGGAAAAAGGAAAACGGCAAGGTCTAAAGATTCAATACTAGAAACCAGATCCATCATGCGAAGGGTTCCTCTGCACCTGCGGAGTGGTTCCAAAATGATAGAGCAATGTTAGCTTGGCCAATTTGTGATGACAGCTTGTGGCTAGTTAATCCAGCTGTCTGTAGACCCACCTGCCTCATCGTAGCCCACGTAGCCAGGAGGCGAACCAATCAGCTTCGACACCGTGTGTCTGGGCGAAGGCTGTGCCGCGAAGGAGATGGGAAGGAGCGAAGAGCCATGTCGTTCGTTGTGTGACAAAAACCAAAAAGGAGCGAAGACCCGTGTGGCCTCCAACCTAGTAGAGTCCTTGCTCCTAGGAGCGATGCCCTTTGTTACTAGTAGCGTCCTTGCTCCTAGTAGTAAGGCCAGGAGTCCCTAGTAGCGTCCTTGCTACTAGGAGCGATGGCCTCCAACCTACTAGCGATAAGCCTTGTGGCCTTTCGGTGAACATCGCTCCACTTTCAAACCGGACCTCTTCCTTTTCAACGAAAGGTCTATCATGGTCTAACGGCTAACCGTCTGACACAGAAAAATAGAGGCCATGTTCAGACCTTCGCCTTGTATATTCTCATCTTGTGATTTTCTTCTAGACTTTGGTGACCTTCGTATCTTGTTTGTCCTGTTTTTCTGTTAGGTCTTGAAGTCACCTCATGCTTTTCTGACAAGAACGCTCTTTTGGAGTTCGGGACAACTGAAACACTCCATGAAGGCTGTCATGACCTGTCTCGCTCAGTTCCTCACCTCTCCATGAATTCCTGAGCGAGCGTGGCTGTGAAAGAATTGTGTATGAATCATTGATGCTTCACTTGTTCTTTGCCTTTTTACCTCCTTCCAATTGGCCCCACTGGAGATGCAGAAAGTGCTGTTGAGAGAAGAACGCATTTTCTGCATCACCTGGTGGCCTTTGGTTGTGGTGCTGGGTGAAGCCGCTTGACGTTCCTGCCATTTGGCTTAGGAAGGATCTGACGCTACGAACGGGGCTCCTGGCCAAGTTGACATGAGAACATACGACTGCGGTTGCCACCCAGTGACGCTCATGTCCAGGCGGATCATAGAGTCCTCCTTTCCAAAGTAAGCGGCGGAGAGAGCCTCACGTGTGAAACGTCTTGTGACGATCGTAGCGTCCTTGCTCAGAATATCCAAATAGAAACAAGGGCATCGCTACTAGTAACAAGTGCCTTACTAGTAGTAACAAGAAGCTACTAGGAACAAGTGCATCGCTACTAGTAACAAGTGCCTTACTAGTAGTAACAATGTTCACTATTAGAAACAAAAATTAAATAATACTAAATAGAACCCATGTTCGCTACTAGTAACAAGAGATGGACATGCCCACGTTCCTCGTAGCGTCGGATCGCTCCTAGTAGCGATGCCCTTTGTTCCTAGTAGCGTCCTTGCTCCCAGTAGGAAGGCTAGTAGCGGCCTTGCTACCATTCAATTCCTTGACGTCCCTATGCCATCTCTTTCCACTGCGGGCAATGTGACACTAGCAGCTTCAGAAATCAACTTCAGTGGAAGGGGAAGAACGGAAGAGCATCTTCTTCAATCGCCAACTTCTTCTACAATGTTACTAGTAGCTTCTTGTTACTACTAGTAAGGCACTTGTTACTAGTAGCG